TTGCATTTGACATACCCCACTGCCTCGTTGTTTTCATTATGAATGTGGTCAAAATTTCTCCACACCTCCGACCTTGCATTTGCTGGCTTGACCAACACGAATTCGCCAAGGGCTATTTTCCGTTTCACTTCTGTAACATCCATTTTGCATTCATCGCATATAGATCGAACGTTATCACATGATCATTTATTTGCTGCGCATATAACGGTTTAAAGCCCGAGCCTGGCCCGGCCCGAATGAAATAATAAAAAGTACAGCCCGAACCCGGCAGGACCTCTCGGGTCCCGTCGGGTTCGGGCTAATATTCCCTGCTCTACTTTGGATCTTAACAGAGTACTCCTTCCCCAAAAGAAGGTTCCACTTAAGCAGATCATTATCAAATAGTGCAGTTATAAATTTTAAAGAATCTGTTTCACTTTCTCTCTCCTCTGTCGCTGAGCAGTGCTGCAGAGTGCAAAAGCTTAGTTTGTACCTCTTCGCAGGTTGATGATTTTGTTGATGGGGTTGCTAGTTCTCTGCGTGCTGCCTTAGACAATGCAGCTCCTTTGAAAATGAAAACCGTTAAAAATAGAAAGCTTGCTCCTTGGTTTAATGCAGAGCTGCGCACTTTGAAGCAAAATGCTAGGAAACTGGAGAGAAAATATCACTCCACAGGTCTACGGGAGTCTTACCTAGTGTGGAAAAATAGTTTACTGCTGTATAAGAGGACCCTTTGTAAAGCAAGAGCAGCATATTTTTCCTCATTAATCCTAGATATCTTTTTAATCCAGTTGCCAAACTCACCCAGAGCCATAGCTTAGTTGAACCATCCATTCCAGATTGGACTATATGCATAAGTGCCCAAAATTGAAGGCATGTATATAGGAAAAAAAAAACACCAGTTTTGATCAGCTGTACATTCTAATGATCACTATGAATGAAAGGGTTAATGTGCTAAGAATTTTGATTTCAATGAAAGGAAATTTGCACAAATAAACGATCCGTCCTGCTTACCTCCAACCTGCCTGCAGGGACAGGAATGCATGTCTTGATCGCCACAGCTTCAACCCACATTTGGATCACTCTGCGCTCCCTACATCCGGAGTCATTGAAGTGAGAAAGTTTCCTTTTTTATGTAATTTATTACTGGTGTTGCCACCAGTTGTCCTTGAGTGGCCATACCTATGAATGGATGGTAGAAGGGATCCGTTATGTTTTTCTTAAATAGATGCTTCAAAGAACTAATGGTTTTGCAAAATGTTTCCTCTGGTGTGCTTGCAGGTTTTGCCTCTTTACATAAAGACAGCATCTGTCTATTATGGTCGTTTGGTGAATTCCAGCGATGAAGGATTTGAATCGATGGCTTCTGAGATAAACTCGTATTATGCCGACACAAAGCCAGGAGCCAAGGAGCTGCTGCAGGGGGCTTTATATGCTGTGCAAGAGGACGGGGTCTTCCACAGGTTTGTGAATGAGTTCACTTTGCTGTATCGATCATTAGTGCTGTTTACTTAAATTGCTTTTGAAAAAAAGCTTTGGGTTTTCCGCTCCACTGTCACTACAAGCATTCTTTGTATGAGGGATTGCCTTTGAGTCGCTCTCAGGGATCACAATAAAAGTAACTAGTTACTAATAAAAGTAACTCCAGCGTTACTTTTGTTTCTCGTTTCTCGCCCCCGTAACCCTCACCACCCGGCCCCCACCTTCTTGCCGAGTGTTTCAAAAGCCAGCTCAATAGAGCGGACAACAAAGACAAGAACCTGCAAAGAGTTTTGCATTTATTGCAACTTAACATAAATTACATCGGGGCGGGGAACGCTATCTGACAAGCCTTTGAAACCCCTCAGATAGTGTTCCCCTGCTTAACATGG